GTGATCTTCCTGCCTCGGCCTCCCAAAGTGCTGGGTTAACAGGCTGGAGCCACCGTGCCCAGCTGATAGTGATTTCTAATTTCACTGGATTGTGGTCAGAGAAGATACCCTTTGTATAACACCTTCTTAAATCTACTGTGACTTAATTTGTGGTCTAGCATGTTCTATCCTAGAAAATGTTCCAAGTGCACTTCAGAAGGATATGTACACAGCCAGGTGAGGTGGCTCATGCCTGTAATCCCAGCACTTTGGAAGCTGAGGCAGGTGGATCACCTGAGGTCAGGAGTTTGAGACCAGCCTGGCCAACTTGGTGAAACCTTGTCTCTACTAAAAATACAATAATTAGCTGGGTGTGGTGGGCGTGTCTGTAATCCCAGCTAATAGGGAGGCTGAGGCAGAAGAATCCCTTGAACCCAAGAGGCAGAGGTTGCAGTGAGTGGAGATCACACCACTAGACTCCAGGCTGGGCAACAGAACGAGACCCTGTCTCAAACAAAGAAGGATGCCTACTCTATTGTTGATCTGGCTAATTTTTTTGTATTTTTAGTAGAGATGGGGTTTCTCCATGTTGGTTAGGCTGGCCTCGAACTCCCGACCTCAGGTTATCCACCTGCCTTGGCATCCCAGAGTGCTGGGATTACAGGTGTGAACCACCATGCCTGGGTGCTCTCCAAGTTCTTATAAAAGAATACAATAACAAATTCATTGTAATTTTATATCTGAAAAAGGCTCATGTACAGCACTTCATATTTTGAAAAGTTTCCCACTTCTTAAGTGTGGGCTGTTTGTGGTGGCTGACTTCCAAAGACTACAGTATGAAAAGGAGGGAAAAAAGACTAACTTTAAAGAAGAGAAACCTGACAAATACCTAAGCCATGTGATAAAGGTCCTATCAACACCATCACTCATGTTGACAGTATTTCCTTTGTCATGGGATGAAAATGGCATTCTCCCTCTATGGTCTTCCTCCCTGAAACACATAACTCCACTTTAGCTCTGAGAAAAACATCAGAAAATCCCAACTGAGGGACACGACCAGTAGTGCTGAAAACTATCAAGGTCATCAAACACAAGGAAAGTCAGAGGAACTATCAGAGCCAAGAGAAGCAGGACAACCAAGGCGAATGTGACATTCTGGGTGGGATCCTGGAACAGAAAAAAGGACATTAGGCAAAAATTAAGAAAATCTGATTTAAGTGTGGCCTTTAGTCAATAATGTATAATATTGGTTCACTAATTATGACAAATGTATCATACTAATATAAGGTGTTACAATTGGGGAAACTGGAGTGTATGAGAATTTTCTATACTCTCTTCATAGTAAACCTAAAATTGTTCTATAATAAACACTTTATTAAAAAAAAAGACTGATGGACAAATTAAGCATTTTCCCAGATTATCAAAGCTGTTTTGCATACATTCATATCTTAATCTTCACGAAAACGCTAAAACACAGGTATCATTATTCCTGTTTCACAGATAAGAAAACTGAGGCTTTAAAAACTGAAGATAACACTCTGGTTTCCCTTCAGGTGAACCTTTCACCTTTTACTAAAAACTGAACATAAACTGCTCAAGATTCATTAACACCAAACACCATGAAATATAATTGATTTTGATACATCAAAATTGATGAAGAAATTAATAGTTCTTAGTTATTTCTGGTCAAATGATACAACATTTGCTATTCAAAAAGATACAACCAAAAACTATTTGAGATGTTTTGCAGAACAGCAGTTCTATTAAATTATCCACACTGTGATGCAACTTGGTTAAAAATATTAGCCAGGCACAGTGGGTTATACCTGTATTCCCAGCATTTTGGGAGGCCTAGGTGGGTGGAATGCTTGAGCTCAGGAGTTTGAGACCAGCCTGGGCAATATAGTGAAACTTTTTGTCTCTACAAAAAGTACAAAAATTATCCAGAGATGGGTGGCATGCACTTATAGTCCCAGCTACACAGGAGGCTAAAGTGGGAGTCACCTGAGCCCAGGAGGTCAAGGCTGCAATGAGCCATGATGGTGCCACTGCACTCCAACCTAGACAACAGAGTGAGACCCTGCCTCAAAAAAAAAAAAAAAAAAAAAAAAAAGAAGCAGATTTTTAAGATTACAAATATGGCCACCACAGCAAATATATCAAAGTTATTTTAAACTACATAGACTTTTTATGATATTAAGCCCTATCTGAACAAAATTTCCTTAAAGCCAAATATGGTACAAATTCCTATTTTGAATCATTTGCTCAAGTTTTTCCTCCCTTACCTGTCAAGGATCCCAATTTCTTTCCATACTTCCAAGTGCCAGCTGAAATGCCAAACTATGCATTGAACCTTCCCCAATTACTTCTCTCATATCTAAACTTTCACTACTATTTTCTGACCATGTAACAATGTACTGCTTTAACATCCTGCTGACCATTCGCATATCACACATATAGAATATACTTAAAAAACTGATGAATGAAGTATCAAAAAAAGAGGAAAAATTCTATCAGTTGAATGATTAAACCTCTTTCACACATGTGTATATAGGCATGTATCTCTTAAGAAATGCAACATTCATAAGCAAAACATTCAACATTCACAAGCAGTTTCTTTATATTGATTTAGCTACATGCTTTTAAAAATTATTTTTGGAAAGCAGAGAATGTAAATAAATTTACCTATCATTTCCACTACAAATAAGATCAGCAAATAAAACAACTTTGTACCTTTTTGCTCTACAAATTTTGCTTTTCTTTCCATCTTACCCAACTTTAGCCAATAGCTACTTAAAGTTTTTAAATTGAGGCACAACATAAAATTCATATTAAGTAGAAACTTCAGTCAGTTTCTATATGTGTATCCACCCCTATAACCAACACTGAAATCAAGATACAGGCTTTTTCACAACCCCAGAATTCTACTTAATATGATTTTTATGTTGTAGTTTATGAGACGGAGTTTCGCTCTTGTTACCCAGGCTGGAGTGCAATGGCGCGATCTCGGCTCACCGCAACCTCCGCCTCCCGGGTTCAGGCAATTCTCCTGCCCCAGCCTCCTGAGTCGCTGGGATTACAGGCACGCGCCACCATGCCCAGCTAATTTTTTGTATTTTTAGTAGAGACGGGGTTTCACCATGTTGACCAGGATGGTCTCGATCTCTTGACCTCGTGATCCACCCGCCTCGGCCTCCCAAAGTGCTGGGATTACAGGCTTGAGCCACCGCGCCCGGCCACAACCCCAGAATTTTTCCTCATACCACCTCTCTCCAATTTCAATCACTATTTTCCAAATTTCAATTAGCTAACTACCATCCTTCATAATGTTCTTTACCATGACTCACTTATACTATTATTTACATCATATTTAACTCAACTCATTTTTTAACATCTTCATTCTAAGAAATAATGTCTGTGCAATCATAGGTTTGTTGTGCTCACTTTGGTATTGACTCACACATTAAAATAAACATCACATTAAAATAAATGTTTTCAGGAGGCACCATAGCATGGCTGTATTTGGGAACCAATGCTTTACCTCATTTTTCTTACTCTGTGGACCAAAGCCACTTTATTTCTTTCCCTCTATTTTCCTCATTCAACAAGGCCCACATTTATGTCCTTAATTTACTGATTTACACTTTACTTGCCACCGGTGTCATCACTACCACCCTAATGCTTGTATCACCTCAGTCATGAGCAACCCTCATGTCAGTTTTTGCAGTTCCAGCTTCATACCAAGGCTCAATTCCACTGGTCAAAAGCCCCTCCACTCTTCAAAATTTTGCCCACCGGTTATAATCCAGGCAAATTTTCACTTCACCTAAAACTCTTCATCTGTTTTTGCCACTTACTCCAGGCTTCTAGCTAGCGATCTCTGCACTGTCTTGTCTTTCCAAGGGCAAAGCCTTTTTTACGCTGATATAATACTACAACATTAGTGAACCAGGAGGTGTGATTTGCCTTGTGTGTACAGCAAGTGAGTTACAGCTACTTGAAATCTGAACTACCATTACAGATTTCTTTACAGCTAATACTAAGTGTATGTTGAGTATCCAAATTGTGTATATTTTTTAAGGCCTACATTAAGACCAAACACTGCCATAGAATCTTTTCTCAAGCTAACTTCCTATGATATTCTACTACATGAGTTATTTCTGAATTACTACTGGATTTTTAAATTTCATATCCATAATTAGGAAGCAACTACATTACTTGCAGTGTCCAGCAGGGGACTGAGTATTAACAGCCCCCCCCCCCCCCCCCTCCATACTCCATGATGTTGGAAGATCTGGATGGAAGTACTGTTGTAACCTATGTAACCTTAGGCAAGGGCTCACTAAGATTATCTAAGTAAGTCTCAGATGCCTCCTTCATAAAATAAGGGTAACTATTTTACAGTGCTCTGTGGCCAAACTGATGTAGAAGTTTTCAAATTAGGAAGTGCTACATAATTGTGGTTTTTATTCTGAGATGATATCAGAATCATCTTGCAGAAGAACAGATAAATTCCTGAAATTTGGAATTCCTGTTCATTTTAGGGCTGACCCAGATAGCTGTTCTAAAATTCTAGTTGCTTTAAATACATATTATTTCTGAACGTAAAGTATTTACATGGCTGCCTTTATCTTGAAGATGCTGCTAATAATTCTGCTTTTATCTTTCCTATGTAATTGGGACCCAAACAACAACAACAACAACAACAACAAAAAACGAGACAGGCGTGATGCTCACGCCTGTAATCCCAGCACTTTGGGAGGCTGAGGTGGGCGGATCACTAAGTCAGGAGTTCAAGAACAACCTGGCCAACATGATGAGACCCTACCTCTAAAAAATACAAAATAGCTGGGTATGGTGGTGCTCGCCTGTAATCCCAGCTACTTGGGAGGCTGAGGCAGGAGAACCGCCTGAACTTGGAAGGCAGAGGCTGCAGTGAGCTGAGACTGCACCACTGCACTCCAGCCTGGGCGACAGGGTAAGACTCCGTCCCAAAACAACAACAACAGAAAAAAAAAAAAAAAAAAAAAAAAAAAAGAAAAGATTATTTCAACCACCTTAATCCAGGGATCTTTAGCGGCCAATTAAAGGCTTTGGTCAATTCTAAGCATTGCACTTACTGTATTGCAGACCCATGGCTTCCTATCCATTTCTTGATAAAAACAGCAGAATTTGTAGAGAAAAAACGTGCAAAGTTTGTTTTCTGTGGGACCTCATTTATCTGTAGTATAATGTCCTTTGCCTCTTTTAAGAATTTAACATACAAGTCTTTCTTAAGCCACGCCTTCAATAGAACTATTATTAAGCAGCTTCAGTTCTCATTTTTAGAATCCACCACCATTTACTTTAGTTCATTTTGCATGTCCTGGAATTGGACCTTTTTTATAGATTAGAAGAAAAAATTAACTGAAGTATTAAGATATAACATACACACATCCATTTTTTAAAAATAAGGCCAAGAAATTCTATGACGTCAGGGAGTTTGAGACTGCTGATCAGTCAAGCTGTTACCATCCCCAGGGGACAGAATGCAAAGGAGATAAAGATCTCAGTGGTTTGTCCTCACCTTCTGGGAAACAAATGCTCAAATTTAGCTTATCTAATCCTGGGATTGACTATTTTAAAAAATATAAACTCCAATATATAAAATCATTTCTCATTCCTTTTCACAGGTTATCCTATACACCTCAGATGGAGCTTTTTTTTTTTTTCCTTGACTGAAGAAGTTTTACCTTTTGGTGGGAATTACTTCAAGTAAATATCATCTAACAAACTGTCTCACTTCCTTTAGTTTATTTCATTCTCTTAAGAATTCTACTATTATGGGTCGGCTAGGTACTGAGTGTGCCAGGCTCTACAGAGTGAGGACTTCAGTCCAAGGTCATGGCAAAATATCTGAAGTTCATTGCCAGGACTGTGATGGCACAGGAAGGGAACGTGGAAAGCGTAAACAGAAACCTAAACAGAATCCTCACTATGGATGGGTTCACTGAGGACATAAAGCATTGGCGGTATTATGAGAAGTCATGCCTCCTGCAACAGAGGGAAAGCTATGAAAGGTGTCGGCAAATCTACAACATGGAAGTGGCTTGCAAGATCAACTTCTTGATGCAAAAGAATTGGGTAGATCCATGGCAGGGTTGCTGAGGCCTGTGGGACACCCAGTGTGAAACCCTCATCCAGTTTTGTCTCAGTTTTCTTTGTACAATCCCATTTCCTATTACTGTTCTCTATAATAAACTCAAACACGTTTGCAAGAAGGCCTCCACATATAGACACAATCCCATTAGACAGCAGTGGACCCTCTCTTTTATTAAGTGAAAGAAGAAACTGAGTCTGAAAGTAGTCTAGTAGCAGAATGGTGTTTGCCAGGGGCTAAAGGAGGGGGCAATGAGAAGTTATTGTTTAATGGGTACAGAGTTTCAGTTTGGGAAGATGAAAAAGTTCAGGAGATGATGGCCAGGTGTGGTGGCTCACACCTGCTATCCCAGCACTTTGGGAGGCTAAGGTGGGCAGATCAATTGAGGCCAGGAGGTAATGACAAGCCTGGCCAACATCGTAAAACCCCGTCTCGACTAAAAATACAGAAAAAAAAAAAAATTGGCCAGGCATGGTAGTGCATGCCTGTAGTCCCATCTACTTGGGAGGCTGAGATAGGAGAATCGCTTGAACCGGACAGGTGGAGGTTGCAGTGAGCCAAGATCATGCCACTGTATTCCAGCCTGGGAACAGAGTGAGACGCTCAAAACAAAACAAAACAGGAGATGGATGATGGATGGTGACAGTGGTTGCACAAAAAGGTGAATGTACTTAATGCCACTGAACTGTACACTTAAAATGGTTAAGATGGTAAATTTCGTGTTTTACTATAATAAAAACTTTTTTGAAAGTTAAAAAATTCTACTACTGCAAAGTTTCATTAATCTTCTAGATTGTTAAGAAGCATGTGGAAAAAGATACTTTAACAGGTCTTCTGCAAGGAACCCAATGCCTGATTGTCAACTGGGTTTTCAAAAACCGATAATGTTAAATTCTTAGGGTAGTTACAAATAAACTTTATATATTCCAAGATTTCATATACCACACTGTGACACTAACCCAATAGCTACTACGCTTTTCATGTGTTTACTACATGCCAAACACTGTTGTAAGTGCTCCATTTAATCTTCACAGGTAGAGATTATTACTAACCATGTATTATAGATGAAACTAAATCACATTTAACCACTCATTACAAAACTTCACCCAAAGTCAACAAACAGGGGCAAAAAGGGCCTCCAACTTAAGATAATCTGTCTTCAGTGTCCTCATGCTTAACCATTATGCTAACCTCCCTCTCATATCCTGGAATTATTTTGAGGGTGGATATTCTGAAGATGTTAACCTAATGAAATCTCAACTAAGGGATCGGCACAGTGACAGGACAATTAGTTATGTTCCTAAAACTCAAAATCCAATAAGAAAACACTGACTTGTATCAGGTCATCTACTTCTGTCCTTAAAGCATCTCTGGCATTCCTAGCAGTGAAGCAGAGTTGCCATTTTCCCATGTATAATGGCATATGGGCCCTGTGATAAATTTTCTTAAATGAGAATAGCAGCAACATAAAGAAACACTAAGGAAAAGGCAGCAAGGGGCTAGTTCAATCAAAAAAGGTACCCAATGCCAGGAAAGCTGAACTGCCGGTTAATGATGATTTGACCTTGAGGGTGGGAGGATGGAGTGGAGAGAATAAGCCAGGAGCTGATAAGCAGCTTTCAACTTTGGTTATTTCTGTTAAGAAACTTCAAATCAGGCAGAAAAGGAATGTAAAGAAATAACTCCCATAATCAGTCTTTCTACATGCTCTCAAATTCAAATGAGGAAGTTAATACTGTTACTTTTAATTTCTGTGAGTTCTTAGTCTCACTCACTTAGTATATATATTAACCAGTTAATGAAGAATCCCATTTCTCAGGGTCATAAATGTCATCTTATCTGGTGTTTCCCAAATTGTGTGTTCCACAAAACATCGTCCCATAAGGTGTTTTCGTTTTGTTTTGAGACAGAGTCTGGCTCTGTCACCCAGGCTGAAGTGCAGTGCTGCGATCTTGGCTAACTACAACCTCTGCTTCCCGGGTTCAAGCTATTCTCCTGTCTCAGCCTCCCAAGTAGCTGGGACTACAGGCACGTGCCACCACGCATGGCTATCCATAAGGTTTTAACAAGCAGGCCAAGTCAGAGATTCTGGGCTTATGTTCGTAAGCAAAATTAGGGTTCTTTGCTATAGGCCTGCTCAGATCCTGGGTATCTGAGCAGAGTGAAGTTCCAAGAGTACAGTCTGGTTTGCAACATTCCTAAAAATCACTGAAATACATTTTTGCTGAACACTTAACTACCAACTTCCAGAGCTAAGTTTATGTATCGAATACAGTTAGGCAAACGTTGGACCCAACATTTCTTGTTCTTTTCATTCAACCTCTTTTTGATCACCTCCAGCAACAGCAAACTCACTAGTTTGTCTTTCACTTTTGAAGAATTTCATTGGATATAGAATTCTAAGTTGGTGGATTTTTTTCTTTCAACAGCTATTATCTCACTATCTTCTTGCATGCATAGTTCTGCTGAGAAGTTCGTTAAAATTTTTATCTTTGTTGCTCTATAGGTAAGGTGATTCCGCCTCTGGCTTCTTTGGAGGTTTTCACTTTTTGGTTTTCTGCACTTTGACCATAGCATGCCTAAGTACAGATTGTAGGCATTTTGGTATCTTGCTTGTTCTCTGAGTTTCCTGGATTGGTGGTTGGGTGTCTTGTCACTAATTTTTAAAATTCTTGGCCATTTTTACTTCAAATATTTACTCTGCTTCATTCTCTTGCTTTCTAGTATTCCAAACCCATGTACATTATATATTTCCAAATGGTCACACAATTCTTGGCTGTTCTGTTTATTTGTGGGGACTTCTTTTCCATTCTTTTTCCACTTTGCATTTCAGTTTGGGAAGTTTCTATAGACCTAGTTTTCAAGTTCACTACTTGCTTCCTTGGCAGTGTCCCGTCTGCTGAACTGCCATTAAAGATGTTCTTAATTTGTTTTGTTTGACAGTCTCACTCTGTCACCCATGCTGGAGTGCAGTGGCACAATCACAGCTCATTGCAGCCTTCACCTCTTGGGCTTAAGTGATCCTCCCACCCAGGCCTCCCCAAGTGTTGGGATTTTTTTCCCCCTAGCATTTGCTTTTGATTTTTTTGCTGGGCATTTCCACCTCTCTACTTTATTACCCACCTGTTCTTGCATGGTATGTACTTTTTCTGTTAGACTCCTTAACATTTCAATTACTTTAAATTTTTGGTCTGATCATTTTTAAATTTCTGTCATATGTAAGTCTGGCTCTGATGCTTGTTTTCTCTCTTCAGACTATTTCTTGACTTTTAGCATGCCTTGTTATTTTTTATTTAAATCCGAACATCAGCTGACAGTGAGTTAAACAGTTCAGTAGTTTAAGGTGTTATTAATCTAGCTAGGACTTAGACTGTGCATAAGATCTGCTATAGGTGTAGATGTTAGAGAGTGAAAACAGCCCTTACACATTAGGAAGTTTTAAATGGCAGAATGATCTTGCTTGTCACCTGTAACACATCCACTGGTCCTAGTTCTGCTCTCAGAAGTAAACCCAAATCCTCTTTTCTGATAACTTTCAAGGTTCTGAAAATAGGTATTCACATAATTTATATCCACTCCCAGCTCTGATCTTCCCAGTTCCCTCAACTGTTCTCCAAGGAATGTTAGTTCCATTTCCCTTTGTTCTCCTAGCCTCTGCCTCTGGATACACTGTGGCAAGTTAATTCATTTTGGTTAACATGGAATCCAGAGTTGAAGACAAAAATCCTGCTGTGGTTTAACCGGCATCTGATGAAACAGATCTTCCACATTCTGATCACTCAGTTTATTAGTGTAGCTTAATCCCACTGTATTAGCTGCATCACCATGTTAATAGTGGTATTTATTCAGTGCTTTATCCCATTTAGTGATGCCAAGCCATGTCCAGACAATACTGATACAATTAACTTGGGAAAATCCAAATAAGGGAATTTATACTAGAAGTGTTTAGGCAAAGAAAGGTATAATGAAAGAAATGCAGTGCTTGTTTCACAGTGATCACCATTCAATTTGCACTGGTTCTAGACCAATGGTCTGACTTGTTAAGAACATTACTCAACAGAAAATGCACCTTAACCGTTAAGTGTTAGCTACTGATGGGTGAGGTTCAGAAGCAGAAGCTTTAAGTAAATTTGTGTGCATATATGCATTTTTCAAAGCTGCTGGCAACTCAAAAAAAGTTAAAACTTCCACATTCTGCTCTTTGATATAACTGCTTGAAGAGGTCCATATTTTAGTTAAACCTCTTCAGTACAATGATATCAAAATATCAAAATTATTAGTACTTAAAGTCTAGAGTTTTATTAGAAAATGTCTCACTCTCTTGCCCAGACTGGAGTACAGCAGGACAATCACAGCTCACTGCAGTCTTGACTTCCTGGGCCCAGGTGATCCTCCCACCTTTTTGGCCTCCCAAATAGCTGTGACTACAGGCACATACCACCACACTTGTGTGTGTGTGTGTGTGTGTGTGTGCATATATATATATACACACACACACACACACACACAAACACAAACACACACAACTTGTAGAGACTGTGTTTTGCTATGTTGCGCAGGCTGGTCTTGAACTCCTGGGCTCAAGTGATCCACCCAAAGTGCTGAGATTACAGGCATGAGCCACTGCACCCAGGTAAATTCTAGCTCTAACACGAGTCTTACTTCAAAAGCTAAAAGGGATTAAATATTTAGATGGTATTGTTACCAATGATACCACTCCACCAATAAATTATACAGTGGCACACTGACAGACTTCTAATCTTCTTTTTTCCAGGATGGGGTCTCACTCTGTCACCCTAGCTGAAGTGCAGTGGTGCAATATCAGCTTACTACAACCTCTGCTTCGTGGGCTCAAATGATCCTCTGATCCTCCTGCTTCTGCTGTCTGAGTAGCTAGGACTACAGGCACATGCCACCACACCCAGCTAATTTTTTTATTTCTTGTAGAGACAAGGTCTTGCTATGCTGCCCAGGCTGGTTTTGAACTCCTGGTCTCAAGCAATCCTCCCACTTCGGCTTCCCAAAGTGCTGGGATTACAAGCATGAGTCTGTGCCCAGCCTCTATATTCTTTTCAGTAAACCACTGCCCCATTTGTTATGTAGACCTACTTCTTTCAATAGGTCCAACATGTGTAACTTAT